TATTGTGCATCACATGAGGAAGCTGCAGTCTGTGGCTCAGCTGGAATGAAAGAGAATATTGCAAAGACTTTCACGTGCTTTCTGAGTAAATGCAATAACAACTCCTCTAAAGTAGTCAAGAAAAACAACATATGGAAAAGCACTCACAAAATGTCACACAGCAAGCTCTCCGAGTAGCAGCTTGTTTGGATGCTGTATCTTCACATCCCTTTTTGCTCTCTGTATTCCTAAAGAAACCCCCACTGCTTTTTAGGGGAAATTAGTGTGAAGTTGCATTGATTTTAGACTGCACGCTGTGATTTCTGAAGTGCTTTGAAGGAGATGAACCAGCTTTTCATTAAGAAAATTTGTCCATTGTACTCCCTGGCTACCTCAGTCAAGTTGTTGAAGAGCGAAGCCAGCTGCTCACAAAGAACATCATTTTTGACACTCAACTCTAATGAATTTTAGTCATCAAGAATGGTTTGCATCCATGTATTGAGGACACCATGTACTGCTCTGAGAGAGGAACAGGCCAGGTTTTGCTTTTGTGCGCAGGCAGAATTATGAATCAAACTATTCAAGGTAGTGCCAGCGTGTGTCTGACAAGTTCTGAATTCAGCAAAATTTGGCAACAGGATGTGAGGATTTTCTTTTTCTAAAATCTGAACTCTGTGCAACTTCACTGAGTGAAAAATGGTAATTTACTTGGGATAACTTTTTCCATGGTGTTTTCAAAACTTTGAGGAGTAAAAGTATCACTCAGAAATGGGATATTTTCCTACAAGAGTGAGAAGACAACACTTTTTGTATGTATGTGTTTGTTTTAATGAAAATGCTCAATTTCTTTAGGAAGAGCGGCGATCCCATTCCAATCCTTGAGTCCCCATCATCAGCTTCATCTCCTAAAGGTTTGGCCTGTTTCTTCAGTATGATGCCTGCAAAGACTCCCATGGGGAGCAGCCCCACACCAGCAGCAACAAAGGGGATCACCGTGTTTTGAGAGCTGGGTGGGCAGCACCTTGACTCTACTACTGGGATGAGCTAATATAATTTTGCTTTTCCTTTTTTTCCCCACTGAGAATTTCAGCAACTGCATGTCATACCAGTCTTCCATTTCTTTGGCAAAATGCTTGCTGTTTCAAGGGTGAGCAGAGCAATCCCTGTCAAGGCTGGGAGGTTTCTCAGTGGGGATTGTGACTATCTAGAATCGCTGAGCTGCGTACACCATCTGTGTCTTTGCAGTACTCAGGACTGGGTTCGCCTGTGGTGCAGATGGTGTCCAGTTCTTCAAAACAGGGAGCTGAATGGAAACAGACTCTTTCTTGAAGTTTTGCCAGTCAACCCCCTAGCAAATCCATCATTTGGTTCCTTCTGCTTTGCAAAGAGACTTCAGAAAAATGGGCCAAAACAGTAGAATACAATTCACATCAGCAGGGAGGTGAGGATTACCAAGTCAACCATACTCAACTGTGTTTCTGAGTTATATTTCTGTACTAAAACTCCTAGAGGTCGTAAGCCCAAGGGTTAGATCCACAGACTGAGGATAGAGGGCTGAACAAAGCAGTGGCACAGTGATCCAGCAGTGGGAGGAGGAGCAGGGTCACTACAGGGCTGCTGCAGAGGAAGACAGAGAAGTGGGAAGCCCACAATGCCAGTGATGCCTTGAGATAAGCAGTATGAAGAACTGTTGTGAAACTCAGATGGAGTGATCCGTAGAAGCCTGGCATGAGGAGGTTGTATTTTAGATATTTTTAACTCTTAGTTGTTTTAAATTTTAATGTTTAATCTCACCTTGTTTTTTATTTCTTTTTTTTTTTTTTTTTTTTTTTTTGCCATGACATTGCTTGGGAAGAATGTGGATGTGGCTGTGAAGGTCTGCCTCCCACTTGGTGTCACATGCATTTTCTGTTGGATCAAACAAAGGAAGGCACTGGCAGTACATTTGCTGGGTCTTGCTGCTAGAACACCCACCATTTTTTTCTCCTAAAAAATCTGAATGCTCAAACACTTAGACTTTTGTAGATGAAGAATTCAGCCAAGAAGGAAGTATGCTAATAATTCTCCAGGCTGCTAATAACTGCAGTTTACTAAAGTGCAGCAGCATTGTACAAATGGCAATAATTACACTTGTATTTTGACTTAAACAGAAAGAAATGAATGGATATTCAGAAAGGGTGTAAATGTAACAATAATTTCTGGAAAATGCAGTGTACAAGAATTGCTGCTAAGGCAACATTGCTGGTTGCAGCAGGGATTGAATGCTGGCCCTCCCTCATTTACAGACTTTTATTAGTAGTTTTGAGACAGCTGCTCTCAGTGGACAATGTGTATGAAGGTGCTGGTGTGTGCAGCAGCAACAACCCCTGGCAAGCTCTGCTCCTTCTGCCAAGCAGCTCAGATGTGGATGTAGTTTCCCATTCTCTTCCCATCACCATGTCTTCATCCTGATGTGTGCCATTCTTCCAGACCATTTCCAGGTGGTTCTCCTGACAATTTGATCTGTGCCCATCCATATGATCTTCCCAGCTTCTTCCTCATATAATTCATCCATGAGTTGACTTCTGCTTCTTACCAGGGGTGTTTGGAGCATTCCCTCCTTGTTGTCCTGAAAGCGTCCCAAGATTATATAAGAATGTGTTGAGGGCAAAACAAGGAATCGTTATAAATATGATTATTTTTCCCTCCTCCGTTCCTTGGTTTATTCCCCTGCAGAGAGCCCATCCTTACTCACAATTATTAATCCTTGACAAAGAAAGGCCTCTTCCCACGAGGAGCGGTGTTTCCTCATAGGTTTTACTGTATAATTGTCTTGCTTACTAGATAATTACATGTGCCACACTAATTGCACATACACATGCACTCTCAGAAATACATGCTGCCATAAATGCCTTTCCTGATTAGGCAGTTGCATGTATATGCCTTAATTGTGAACTGCAGATTGCAGTTATGATGAGGGGATGAGCTATTATTCATTAAGAAATCAACTGATGAAGTACTTCACCTTTGGTTTGGTTCCCTAAAGGCAACATGAATGCCCAAACATGACCTGATCCGAAAGGGTCTGTATACATTGGCACAGTGATGGCAGTAGCACAGTGTTAACTATGAGGTCTAAGGGGCAACAGCAATGTATTGCTAGCTCCAGATGTTAGCAAGAGCTTGACAGCATGCTCATCTCAGGTATGAAGGGCCAGCAGCCCTGTATAAAAGCTTTAGTCCCTCTGCTCAAACTGTTCCAGGTGGCAGCATCCTCTTTTTGGTGTCAGCAAGTCTGACAGGGGAGACTTGAACCCAAAACTCAGAAAGAAATTGCAGTTCTAGGCCTGTTGTGAGTACTTGTTGTATGTGACACTAGGAGCTCTGCAGACAGATATTCTTGTATTTTCAGGTTTAATCAAAGTGTCGCTCTTACTGATTATTCTGCAGTTGTTTGCAGAATACCTGCTTGCTTGAATGTATCTTTACTCAGGCTGAAGACAGCTGACCACAGTTAGACATGTAAATTGTAAAAAATGGATTATGCTTTAAGGAGAGCACTGATAGAAACTTAAGCTTGAGTATGTGTAGGTTCAACAGAAGGTGCAATGAAGGTAGAACCAACTAAATAGGTAAGATGTGTCGACAAAAGGAAGTTGGGTTTTTTGCCTGTTCTTAAAGGTGTTTCTAGCATTTAGCAGAAAGAAAATCTCTAATGGTTGAAGGTAGCATTATCTTCAGATCTGTACAATGGCATGGTTAGGCAGGAAACTCTTTCAAAATGCTTTTAGAAGCACAGCTCTTCTGCCTGGCTCAAATTCTTCGAGGTGTGTCAGATGCATTTTACTGCCCTTGTAAACCCAGAGGCAATGTTACTGTTTAGGGGGCTGGTAAGATCCTTGTGCTCTTGGCTGGTCATTTTCTGCTGCATTGTGTACTAACAGAGTGCATGATGCTTGGTGGCAAGGATAGCTGCAGCCAGCGTGCAGGAGTGACCTTTCTGGGGAGCCACTGTGTTTGGAGGATTTGATCAGTGCTGTTTGCTTCCCAAATCCGTGCTTCAGCGGTGGTGCTGTGTAAGAGCTTATATGAAAAAGGAGCCAGAGACCTCAGAATGCAAGTTTCTGTGTTAAAGCATTTGATGATGTGAATAGGCATGCTGTGTTTGGTTGTTTTGAGATCGTATTGTGTTCTGAGAAAATTACCAAGCTATCCTAGGAGAATGATGTTGGTAATATCTTCATCATGAGGAAATACGAGTCCAGCGCGTCTGTGTTGCACATGAAAGAGTGAGAAGGATAAGACCATGATTCTAGTCCCTGTTGTGCCTCCTGTAGTGATCTCCATGCTGTGGGAGACATGAATGCTTCCTGCCTCCCAGCTCCAGTTGCATGTGGGTTTCTGTGTGGGCCGGAGAAAGACTCCATGTTTTTTCCAGCACTGTGTAATTCTACCCTGTGTTTGATGGCTGAGATTGATCCACTGAGAAATGAACATCGTCTGGTGCTGTCTCATCCTTTTCCTGATGTGGGATGAGTTGCCTGCTCTTTCTGCATGTTAGCATCTGTTTCTGCAAGACGGAGACAGTAATGCTTATCAGCTGTGGATGGATTCTGAGGTTTTCTTTAGGTGTGGAAGACATCTGTAAAATACCATGTTGATAGGTGCTATGTGCTGCACATGCAAGCCTTTCAAGAATCTAAACTGTTAAGTCATTAGTAACTTGAAAATCCAAACCTCATTTTTAGTGGCAGACCAGGACACAGGCCTGGAATAATGAACAAAGTGAGGATGATAACCATTTGGGAGATATTTAAATGAAAGTGTGTTTTTGTTTTAGTGCCCTGTTCACTTCATAGTGAGTTAACTTTCTATTTTTTGTAAGTACTGATTATTTGCCATGCCTCCTAATGTTGTGAAGAACTCTTTTAATCTCGAGTTTAGAAAGTGCTACGGTTTGCCTTCCAGATGGTGTTTAGTCTGCAGAAAATACAATGCTTCTCTTCAGGACTTCATCAAAGTTTTGTTCTGTTTTGTTTTAGAAATCTTCCAGAATCCCTGAGGATGACATCAGGTTAAAAAAAAATAGAGACCAAAACTGTGCCAATTTCCTGGAGCCAGCTACTGCGCTTGCTACAAAGGAAGAAAAAATGGAAATTGAAGTTCCAGTTTCTGAACATAAAAGCATCACCACAGTGGCTTCACCACATCCCATAGACAATCCAACCCACTTCTTTTCTTCTGCTGCCAGCCACAATGGACTTAAGGACAGGCATGAATCTCTGGATAGTGAAGTTGCTAAAGAGATCAGATATCTAGATGAAGTGCTGGAGGCAAACTGCTGTGATTCTTCTGCCGATAATACCTCTAATGGGACATCCTCTCCTCAGCTAAGTGCAGTCACCATCATGGATGGCTCAGGAGCTTCAGTTAATGTCTCTAATGATTCAGTACCCAATGCAGGGGAAGAAAGTGTAGCTGACAAGCAGGTGCCCTTGGTTGTTAAACCACATGAAGCTAGTACAGCAGGTGAAAGCCTGAACTCTAATGGCCATTCCTTGGGTGGACTGAAGGAAGACACTGGGGAAGGTCTGAAGATGCCAGGAAGTCCCAGTTCTTCAAACAGTTCTAGAAGATCTTCTAAGGATGGAGAAACAACTCTTACAACCCTTAAGAAAGAGGCTAAGTTTGAACTACGAGCTTTCCACGAGGACAAAAAGCCCTCTAAGCTCTTTGAAGATGAAGATGAGAAAGAAAAGTACAGGGTCCGCAAAGTGAGACCATCAGAGGAAATGATAGAACTTGAAAAGGAAAGAAGGGAACTCATTAAAAGCCAGGCTGTCAAGAAAAACCCTAACATTGCCGCCAAATGGTGGAACCCTCCCCAGGAGAAGACTCTGGAGGAACAACTGGATGAAGAGCATCTGGAATCCCACAAAAAGTATAAGGAGCGCAAGGAGAGACTGCAGCAGCAAAGTGCAACACCAACATCTCCCAAACAGGTCAGCTGCTCCTTTGTACCACCAGAGCCAGTGAATATCAAGAAAGAGGATATTGTCACGGAGCAAATTGATTTCTCAGCTGCCAGGAAGCAGTTCCAACTGATGGAGCATTCAGGTCCATCTCAAGGTCAGGTCCCACCAAGGCGGTCTGGAACACCCAAAATGTTCTCCGTCAAACCATTCTATAAAAGCCTCAATCCTTCAAATACAGAGAGGCCTCTCTCCACCATTACAAGACCTGTTTCAATGTATGGACAAACAGCTCAACATGAGGGTAATGACATCGCTGTTGTCAAAGCACAGAAAGTCTCCTGTTCTTCAGAGGAAGATACAAATGCTCAGAGCAACAGTGCTGACCCAATAAGAGAGTTACCATGTAGTGATAGCTCCAGAGCTGGACAGGCCTCGAAACTGTGGTCAGAGGATGGAGAATTCATGAGTGCAAGAGCTGTCTTCACGGTGGTGAAGGATGATGTACAGGGTGTGCTAGACCAGCTCCCAAAGTCAGCCAGTGCCTCCTCCCCTCCCGAGGAGCTTGACTCCGGTTTGGATGACTTGTCTGTAAGATCTCAGGATACCACTGTCTTGGAAACCCTTTCCAATGACTTCAGCATGGATAACATCAGTGACAGTGGTGCCTCTAATGAAACTATGAGTGCCCTGCAAGAAAGCTCATTGGCAGATTTCTCCCTGCCACAGACCCCACAGACCGATACTCCAGCAGAGTGCAGGAGTGAAGGCATGTCCAAATCATTCAGCGACCCAGGCTGTGACTCACTGTCTTCTGCCTTGGCAAATTCTATGCTGATGGACAACCAGCTGGAGTACCATGCTGGTCTGCTTGTTCAGAATGCCATCCAACAAGCCATAGCCGAACAGGCAGATAAAACAAATGGCAAGGAAGAGAAAATCCCAGCAGAGCAGGATATCTCTGCCAAAGAGCAGCCGGCCACCACCAGGCTATCTCCAGCCTCCAAGGAGCTGCAGAACCCAGTGTTTAAGCCACCCCAGGTGTCTTCACCTGTTCAAGAAAAAAGGGACACCATACCAAAGACTTCAAAAGAAGATGACTCAGGACTCAGGGAAGGGAAGAGTTTGCAGCAGTCGCCCGTGTACTCTGCCAGCCAGCCATTCCTTGTGGAGGAGAACAGGCACGAAGTCAGTTACTTCAGCAAGTATTCAGAGGCAGCTGAGCTGAGGAGCACCGCCTCCATCCTTGCCACGCAGGAACCTGAAGTGACCGTGGGCCCTTTCAAGTTACGATCAAGGAAGCAGCGGACTTTATCAATGATAGAAGAAGAAATCAGAGCTGCCCAGGAGCGAGAAGAGGAGCTGAAGAGGCAGCGGCAAGGTCTGCAGATGGCACCAAGCCCTGTTACAAAGAGCGCACCACCCCTGCCCACCAGAACAGTGTCTTACAAAACTGCACCAGGTAAGGACCCAACACACTGGAGAGCAAAAAATGTAACGCAACAGGTCAGATCAGATTTGTTTTTTTGCCATTTTTGACTGAATGCAGAATGTATGTTATAGAGGGGTGGGAGAGCTGCCATGATCTTACCTTCTTGGAAACTGCAGTATTCAAGCAGGAGGAGGGCAACAATTTCCCAGATTTCCCTCAATGTGGAAGTGTCCAACTGAGGACATTTTCTGTTTTTCCTGAACATAGCACAGAAGTAATGATCATATCCTACTGATCATTATTAGAAGATGATGTAAGCATTCAATCTTATGCCACACTGTAGCATAATGTGTTTATCACTGCTCTCCTCCAATCACCCAAAATTAGATTTAGCATCATCATGAGAAATGATCAGCAGCATTTTTTGCAGGTATGCAGCTATTTGAAAAATGAGCATACGAAGCTCTTGCAAGTCATTAAGGAAGTGCAAAAATAGCTGGAATTTACAGGTTTTAGATCAGATTTTGTTTCGCTTTCTCTGCTCAGATGTAACTTGGCTTTCTTGACAAACTTCAGTAAAAAGATGCCTGGAGTTGAGCAGCGCTCAGCTCAGTATTTCAGTTGGTGTCATGCCTTACTGCATTGGGCAGGTATTAGAAACAAAGTGTTTAGAGGGTTCAGTAGAAGTCCTCTTTTGGCTGATCAGCTTCTGGTCCTTTGTGGCGTCTGGCATGCACAGCAGTTACAGTGTAAAAGTTTTTCTCTTCCCTCTTTGAAAAAACTGAAATAGCACTGGTCCCTTCCTAATGTGTCATGAAAACAGCAAACAAAACAGAAAAACAGCAGCACTTGTCTGGCTTATTTCTTTTGTAGTGATTTTCATGAGTATAGACCTGACTGTGCCGTGCAAGCACTTGAAAGTTTTTATTAAGCATGGTCATTGTGAAGAAGTATTAATTTTACCCAGTGTATTTATAGTCCATCCTTTTTTCAATTGATGTAAACGTAATTGAGTCAGTCAGTGGTGCTTCCAGAGCTTGTGCAGTTAGTCATGCTTCCAAAACTTGTGCAGGATGTTCGTTTTCTTTTGAAATCCACTGAAGACTTCAAACAAGGCTGGACTGAGTCCCTTAATGAAATCTAAGTTTTGAGCTTCAGTGTCACACAGCATATAAATAGCTAACACTTGGTTTTGTTAGTTCTGTACAGAGAATAATTTTAATCTGTGTTTCTTGCCAAAAAATGTAGCAGATGTTGGTAATTTCTTTGGAGTACTATTATTGCTGCTCTTATTTTTTGATAGAGAGCCTCCAGAAATTGGTGTGCATTGTGCAATGTCTGGCAAGATAACAGACATAGCATAACATAGCCCTCGGCTTGTATAAGTCTTCATTGTGTAAAGGTGTGCTCATGACCACTTCATAAAACAGCATTATCTGTAGCTCTGTGTGCTTGAAATGAGGCATTTTACTCACAAGTGGTTTTGAAATAGCTGCTGACACTAATGCTTGTTTTAACAGAGCACCTGGGAAAACAGTATGTTTCTGCTAGTTCTTATTCCTCTATACAACAAGACATTTACTTTGTGTCTTATGATAAAATGCTCATTGTAATTTACATTTTAATGCGAAGGATGAGTTTATATTTGTAATGAATCATTACAGTTTCCTCTAGAAGTCCAACTGCCATATGTTTGGGAAAGAAAATTGGGATGTATTTGCCAGTGATTCAAACTACTGCAATCTGCAGCTGGTGACAAGGCAAAGAATTAATTTCTAGGAAAATATGAATATGTGTAATGATGTAATTGATCAAAAGAACCAAAAAGATCATTGTCTATTTTTTCTATATCTTCCTCTTTCACTGCTTTCCAAGCAGTGGATGTGCTCAGCAGAGCTCTTTGCTGGTGTAAGATGGCTCAGTGCCCTTGGCATTACAGGGTAAGTACCATCAACTTACCTCATCTGTGCTACCCCTTCATCCAGCTCATCTGAGGAGGTGCAGTAAGTAATCAGATTGCAAATTACCTGCCTCCCAGGTTGCTTTTTGGTGATGAACTGGGCAGGTCTGCTTTGCTAGGAGACCTGGTGGGCCTTCACTTAATGCTTTGAGCTGTCACTGTACTATCAGGCAAACCACAAAGGAATGCAGTGAACTGAACTGCTATTTTGACTAAATGTGAAAGGCTGGCACAATTTGTGTGGCTGAGATAACTGCTAATTGCTTCAGATAGCAAGCAGGCTGTTTTGCCACCCTGGCATACAACTTCATAGAACTGAGGGTAACACCACACTTGGCACCTGCCAGCCACTCAGTGCAAGCCACAGGGTTCCAAGTGACCAAGCTTAGTAACAAGTATCCTTCAAAGCTGTTTGGATAGTATAAAAGCTGCCTTCTAACCCATCTCAAATCACTGGAGCAAGACTCAGTACTATTTCAGCCATGTGTTGTGCGTACACAGAACAAGACCTTATCTGGGGTAATAATGTTTAAGAATCACAGAAAACCCTGAGTTGGAAGGGACACCCAAGGACTGTGGGGTCCAACCCCCAGCTCCACATGCACCGCACAAACCCAAACCCTGAGCTGCGGCAGCTTGAGGCCGTGCCTGCTGCTCTGGGGAGAAAAATATTTGTGAAATTGTATTTCAGTGTGAGCAGTTCCCACACTGCTTTGGTGCAGCTCTTTCTGCACGTGGCAGGGTGTTGACCAGCTGCATAGCAATCCAGGAGTTTGCTCCTGCAGCATGTGTGTGGCTCACCATCCCTTGTGGAGACAGAAAAGCTGGGCTGTTTAATAGTTGCTCTGAACAAGAGAACAAGTGTGTCACATAGTGGGTTCCCACTTATGTTTTATGATGATCATGTATGTCCCTTTTATTATGAGTACCTAGAATACAAAGAATTTGTATCTGCATGTAGTGCTTGGCTGTAATAATTCCCTTCAAAAGAACTCTATTTTTAAAGTGTGAAAATCATTATGTGAGTGGGCTGCACTCGGTAGAGATTTTTCAGTTAGAGAGAAACCCATCATGAATATTTGCTGTCTCATAACAGCTTGGGGAAATCCCCAGCATGAGAAGCCATGCCTAGAAAAAGCTTTCGTATTGGCCTTTCTGATGTTTGTGACCAAAGCACAGACACTTGAGGCAGAAGGCAGTGTTACCCTCCTCACCCATGCTGGAGCTCAGCCCCATCCATCTATGCATGCATCTGGGAGAGCTCCCCACCAATCATCCATCCTCATTTTCAGTTAGTAAGCTGGATGGGAGACTTTCAGTGGAAAGCAAAAGCCCAGGGGGACACTGCAGTTTATGGTGGCAAGCGATCACATATCTTTTGATGTCAGGTAACTGTGTGGAGTCTGGCTGTGGAGAGTAAGCCTCTGTCAGAGGGGTTGCTTTAGTCTGCAAACAATTTCTCCCTCTTGTTTTTCACCAAAAAATACCTACACTAAAGGAAACACTGCATGTTAAGCCTCATCCCAGAGAGACATTTTGCAAAGTGGAATGAGAAGCGAAAATTCTGCGGCAAGATACTTGCAATATCTGCGGCCACTGCAGAATTTTTAATGCCCATTATAGGTGTAAAGAGTAAGATTAGGTGTAATACATATACATTAACCCCTTTTTAAAATAATTCTGAGAAAGGCCAGAGCAGAAGTGCAGCCTGTGAGCTCATGAAAGATACTGCTTGCTTACAATTTCATAAGCACCAGTGAAGGAAAAGCAAAGTTCATCATTCTCTTCTATGAGGATTCTCTGGAGCACTCATCACTCATCCTCCAGACACCTCCAGGAGAGCCTTAGCCTACCAGCCCAGCTCATTTGTCATTTGCTGTATTATTCATTCCTTAGAGATGCATGAAGTGAAAGGACCTTAAAGAGCTGAGGGTTTTTTTTCTTTGCTATTTGCTTGTTTGTGTATTTGCATATTCCGGTTGCTCATGTGGTATTCAAGTTCAAAGAAGCCCACCTTTCACCTGCAGTGGTAATGAGGCTCCATGTTTCCAGCATGGTATTTTTGCATATATTTGAACCATCCCTGAGTTCATCTCAGGCTAGTTTTCTAAAATGATCAGTCTTGATGAATTACTTTATTTTGAAAAGTTTTCTGTGCAGATGTCTTAAAGATGCCAGCAGCATCTGTAAAGTGGTTGCTCTGTGCAAAGCTCCATTTCCTTTGTAACCTGGCTAACATGTTTGCTGGTCATGGTTTGGGCTCCTGTTCCAGGGCCTCTCCTCTGTTGCTCTTTCTTTCCTTAGCAGCAGACCAGACCAGCTGAGCATGCACAGCCCATTCTTCCTCTTACAGCAGGTGCTTGGACACCCATCAGGCTTCTAGGCATGGATGTCACCTTCCTCAAAACGTTGTTCTTGCTCCCCAGGTACTCTGCAGAGGTTTTGGCTGGGATAGGAGTTCATCCATTCCCAGTTCTTCAGGTCTTTGGTTTCACACAGAGCTGCCAGGCAGTGCCTTGCACACAGCTCTGAGTTCCCCCTTTCTGAGCTTCCCCTTCCTCTGAGCACTGAGTAGAGCATTTCTCAAAGCAGCTCTGGCCTGCTGTGAGTGTGGGGGAAGAAATAAAGAGAAATCAAAATTCTAAGTTGATGAAGCCAGAGATTAGGGAGCTATCACCAGGACTGAGGCCGCAGAATATTTATCAGGGTTTGTCTAAAAGGGGGAAAAACAGTTAACTTCACAGGTGAAGCCTTAGAGTGTTTATCCTATACTCAGTGTCTTGCAACAGGGTCTTCAAAGGACTGCCTTCCTCTAGAGGACACTGCTGATAGCACGTGTGACTTGGGGCTGCAGTTTTTGCTGGTACCCCACTGTTTGGCTGAGAGCATGAATATCATCATTTCTGAGCGCAGATTTGGGAAAGGACCACCTGCAGTGTGTGAGTGAAATGGGTGGCAGGCACAGGACTGCAGAAGTGGGAAGCACCTGTGATCATTGTATCCTGTGATGCTTTTATGCTGAACCTACATACTGCCTGAGAACAGCACTTATCCAGATGGAAATCTGCCAGAAGAAAATTAACCCATCAACATGTCTACCTCAGCCTGAACTGGCAGACTGGGTCTGCACCAGAGCCAAGAGGTTGCAAGAGCCCTGAAGCCTCAGACATCCCGTCATCTCACCACAACCTAGCTGCTGGCTCTGCCAGGCTAGCAGCTAACTGCTGTTAGCATGGGAAGGATTTCCACCTGCTTACCCATTTTCACCACATTTTTAGGAAGAGACCTGCTCATCTGTGAAAAGTAGTCAAAATGAGGCTGTGAATTCCAGTGTTTTTAGTGGAATTCATCCACATACATGGGGAAAACAATTGCATAAAGGGTGATCTCATGTGGTTGGAGACCGACAAACCACTGTTTTGCTGTGGGGAAGGCACATTTCTACCTTGGCTTCTCTATTTGTGAAAATGAAACCACAGCACCATTCATGTCAGCAGTACACAGTATACACAGCACAGCCATGTGTTGCTGCTGGATTGCTGCCACAGCGTAGAAATGGATGGCTCTTCCACTGGGTAGAGTAGATCTGCTTCTAGCAATCTTCTAAAATGCAGATCCCTAGATACCACTCTTTGTGTGGATGGAAGGGTCTCATCTGTAGGGCTGACCAGTATGTGTTGGGTCTGTGTCTCCAGGGAGCTCAGAAAACCTGTGTGGGACAACTAAGAAATCACTTATTACTACAAGAATGAAGTAATACAGCAGCATACCTGACCCTTAACCAGGCTTTTCATTTTCAGCTCACTCTTTTACCTACTGGATCTAATGACCAGGATGATGGTTGCTCATAGAAATACCCCCACTGCATCCTAGTAGGTTGTTTCAGAGGGGTTGAATTCCCAGCCTCATCCCTACACCAGCCATCTTAAACTAAACCTTTAACGAGACAAGCGATGTTGGGTTTTTCCGTGCTGGTTAGAAATGAAATAAGCCCAGCAAGGGTATTTCTTGTAATTCTGGCTCTGGTTTCACTTCTTTCATTAAGCTTCTGATGACTCTTTCAGAAGGTTCCATGGCTGCTCTCTAGTGGTTACCACTGTTAATGACACTTTTTGGAAGAAGAGCTGGGTTTTTGCATCAGCAACAGGAAGTTTTACAAAAATCTGCATGTCCTTCTGGTTACTTCCCTTGTTTGTATGGTTTGGGGATTGTTGTTTGGTTGGTTGGTTTGTTGGTTTGTTTTCCTTTCCTCATCCATTGAACAGTCTCATTTCTAAGAGGTGCCATGCCATGGAGAAGGGAACCTGATTTTCTTCAGCAATAGCTTTTTCCCATCATAGCCAAGTATTTTTCTGATGTGAGCAGATAAGAGCCCTTCTCACTTAATTCATTTCTGCCATCAGCCAGGAAGGACCCTCACACCTTATTCCCACACTCACAGCCAGCCCTCACTCTTACCTCTGGGTCAAGCCAAGTGCTCACTGACATGCTGCAAGTGCTGCATGTCAGCTGTATCAGTGCACAGCCGTCCTCCGAGAGGGTGCTGATGTTTCCCCAGTACCCCCTAGCTCATTGCACTTGTCTCCCCACCCTGTCTGACTGCAGCTTGTGGGAAATAATCTTGGGGAGAGCAACACCAGAGAACTGTGGAAAGCTCTCAGCATGGGAAGAAAAAGAAGCCATCACCGTTTAACCAAACTGCCTTCTCTGGATATTTAATGCATGGTGGTATCCTGTGCACTGCACTGTCTGAGACAGAAAAAAATCCAGTTTGTGGTTTTTCAGCACCTTGTGTACATTTTCAAACCACTGCTATGAGTCCTATAAGAGGGGGGTAATCCAGCTGGATACTCCTGTAAACAGTGATGATGGGTTAAATGTGCCTTATGTTGTTTAATAATTTTGCTAGATTTTGTAGACAGGTTTTGTAATATTTTGATATAGTGGGTTTCAAGAAGGAGGAGGAGGAGGAGGGGAGTGTTTTAAAAACTCACCAACTGTTCCAGTTTGTCAGGTTGTTTCACAGGTTTCATTCCAATCTGTTTCTTCATTCAGACACCACTGAAAATGCTTATCCTGCTCTCTTCTTCTGGAAACAACTTGTGAGTCCTTGAGCTCAGAAGGGATTCTTCTTGTCATTGCAGGAAAGATAGAGAAAATCAAGCCTCCTCCATCCCCCACCATAGAAGGCCCTGCCTCACACTCCGACCTGCAGGCTGAGGAGCCTGCAGGAGCCCAGAGACCCAAGAACCTGATGGAGACCCTCATGGAGGATTACGAAACACACAAAACCAAGAGACGAGAGAGGATGGATGACAGCAGTGTAAGTGCACTCTTCCTTTTTACTTCCTGCTGATCACAATTACTGAGAGTTGGACAACAAAAATATATTTCCCTAGAATCTGTTCAAGTCACCTTGCAGGTGTTCAAGGGCTGTAACACATTGTAAGGGCCAGCATGTTGGAAATGGAAGGATAAGGGCTGGTGGGATGGAAGACAGTGTCTGGTGAAAATGTCAAAAACAGCTCACGTTAATTCCCACTTTGACTAATTGTTAATTAATACTGAGGACAGTAGGCAGTTGCCCTGAAATTGGTAGGTTTTTTAAATTGACCTGCCATCAAGATTTACTAGTGGGTTGTTTTAACAGCTGCTTCAACATTGTGGATCAAGCATATATTCATGCCTTTGTTTGTTGATTCACAAAGTTCAGTCCCAGAATGCTTGGAATTGAGAGTAAGTGGTAGCCCTCCTACAAGCAGTCCCTTGAAGAACTGGAGAGGGAATGTCTCAAAAAAAAACCCACTGTGGATCCCTCAGTGTGCTGTCTCCCACTGGATTTGTTGTCTTTTTTCTCCACACAAACAGAAACAGTAAATTGGCCAGATTTCAGTTTGTGAAAGGGGTGCCTGGGTTTCAGCAATTCCTGTAGCAGTTTAACCATCCTCTTTACTGAAGGCAATAGTAAGAGGGGCTGTGAATTTCATAGCTGGAAGTCCCAAAATCCAGGTGCGTACACTGCACAGCCTGTTTCTCAACAAAGCATGAGATCTTTCTTCTTCACACTGTGAATTTCTGTGGGGAATCAGTGCAGAGCAGTGAGATGTAAGCGAGATTCAAAACTTCTTAAATGTGTTTTGTCTTTGCTGAAGAAGCCAGAGCCTCCAGACACTTCCCAGAGATGTCAGAACAATGATCCCAGCTGCAAGGAGCTCATGCTCCAAGCAAACCACATTCTAGTAAGTCTCACTGATGGCAGAGTCCCATGAGGTACACAGAAGTGAAGTTTTATAATGTGGATACCAGACAGTGCTGTCTGGCAGCTTCTAATCATTGTGAATATCGCACAGTAGCATAAGGGGTCGAAAGGGATGAAATGCAGAGGGATCCTGCTGCACTTCTGCTGGTTAACCAAAACACAGAGGAGGGATGACTCAAAATGCAGGCAGATGAGTCTGTGGAGCACACCAGAAGCTTTTTGGTCCCTTCTCCTATTGAAGGCCTCCATCCTCCATCAGCTTCATGAAGCAAAGCTGGTGGCTCAAAACCTCACCATGGTGAAGAAGCTGCATACTCACTATGTGTTCATCCCCAGCATACTAACCCCCATGAAGAGTGAGCAGGGCTTGCCCTCACTGAAACCTTCTCACACAGCTGTGATAGCCACATGTTGTAGGTAAGGTGTCATTAGTGCAAGTGGACAGGTTCTTTTCAGGCACCTGTGTGCAAGACTTCTCAGGTGCATGCACTGGTGTTTCCTAGGCACATGTTTGCCAGGACTGTTTTGCCTGTTCTTGCAATTCAAGGCATGCCCTGATGTCCTAGCTGGGATCACTGATCTCTAAGCACCTAACCAGAAGGTGTGCCCTGCCTATGTCTAACAAAACAGAAGAGCATCCTCCGTGGCCTGTTAAGGCAGGGGCAGAAGTCAGCATATGTGATCACCTCAATGGGATCTTTGAGAGGCTTAAAGTCTGTGGAAATTCTCTATCACATGCTGAGTATTGGTCTGGGCTTCAGTTTCTCCCTGCACACAAAGGTGCACCAGAAGGCAGAAGAGTTCCAAGAGAACCTCATCCCTGCCTCTGCCTTCACCACCACCACCTTCTGCTTTGTGTTTGACTTGAGTGGCTACACCAGGCCAGCTCTGGCCAAGGATTGCCAGTATGTTGCTTTTCAGAGATGGAGAGCAAACCAAGCGTATCTGCTTTTGGAAGAACTTCACTGTTCTGCCTAGTGGGCAGTTTCTTCTGAAGAGGATGTATAGGCTTAGCAGGTGAGGAAAAAAAGCATCAGCAAAAAAATGAGTCAAGCACCAACAGTAAACAAGACTGAGACAGACCAAGCAGTGTCATTTAAAAAAAAAAAACAAACACCAAATGGACTAATGTTTTTTGTTTGTTTTTTCATGACACCAAGTTGCTTGAAATCCTGTTCTCTGAGATGTGGAAGTTCTTACAATTTATGTATTGTTCTTGTTTCCTAGTTGTAACATGCTTGTTCAATGTACTAATGCTGGTCTTTTCCCTTTCTACCAGTACACCTGTAAATTACTGTCTAGCAAGGTTACTTCAGAGGTACTTTTCAACTGCTTATTTATTTTTGCTTCCTCTTGCATGGTGGTTCTCAGTGCATGTTGCTGCAGTTTGCATTTTCATGCTGTGTGTCAGTACTGTTTTGTATCAAAACTGGGATGCAAATGCATGTGGGGGATATCCCATCTTATCTCCCATCAGCCAGTGTTTGTGTGGCTGATTTTCTCTCCCCTGGATTCTTGTTACAGCCCCTGGCATGGGAGGGGTTGCAATTAAAAGGTTGGGAGCTGCAGCCCAGGACTGAGGCATTCCTGAGACATGAAGTGAGAACTTCTGTGTTGCCATTCTGCTGGCAAAGCCATGCCTGGGGCCCAGGCACCCTCAGATACTGTGTGTGGTATTCCTCCATCCCTGGTTAAAGAGTATGTAGCAGCAGCAAAGTGCAGCATTTTGGAAGACATCCCCACATCAACCTTTCTTTGGTGGAAGAAGAGAGGCAGATGTGAATGCATGGTCCCAGCTTGGGAAATGGTGTGAGCATGTCCCTCTCCCTGTGCATTGCAATGTGATAATGACCACGGTCCCGCCGCTTCATATCCGCACTGGTTTCAGTGTAGAAGAAACCAGACCTGCTTAGAATTAGGGTATTTTCAGTGGCATTTGGCGTTCTGGCAGAATGCGCGAGGCAATAACTTGCACTGTTTTTTAGGAATGAGGTGCTCAGTAACATGGGCATTTCAGCCTGTAGTTTTCTGTGCAGGTGAACTTGTGAATCTGGGCTTCTCTAAGGGACACAAACAGGTCCTAGTAATGGCTGACTCTCATCTGTCCAGCACCAGCACTGTGTTACATACTCATAACTCCCACTATCTCCCCATCTCATAGCATATCTTCTCCACATCAGGCTCCTCAAGACAGGTACATGAATGTCATCTGTCCTGGAGACTAAAGAAAAATAAAAATTATACTTTTTCCTATTCATTAATTTACTGTGGGTTTTATCTTACTGCTAGCAGTCAGCAGTGACTGATCCTTGTGTGGAGCATTCCTAGAGAGTTGAGAAGTGTAGGAGCTTCCAGAAGCTTGTTTCACACACAGTAATGGTCAGGGCATCATGTACTGTGAGGGGCAGGAGCTCAGGGACGGGCTCGATGTGCCTGCCTTGAGGAAGGGTACTGGCAGCGAGCTGGAAGGCGATGTGCATGAATAGGGAAGGGGAGTAGATGTGTGTTTTCAGTTTGGCCATGAAGCAAGCTGTTACCGAAAGAGCCAAGTCTGTGTTAAAAGCACATCCTTTTGCAGTTCTACAGAGACCACTGATAACCAGATGCCTGCACGAGTGGACATTGTTCTCATCCTTAAAAACAGCTGCTTTTTCTTTACAGGTCTAAGTGTTATTGGATATACTTGGCATTAACCTGACTTTGCTAAATACCAGTCATACTGTAGTTGGTAACTGTGGTTAGGTAATTCTGACATTGTTTTTTAAGGTGTCTGCTGAAAATTTTTGACTTATGAAATAGAAAACCAGCAGACGAGGTCTGATGGCAGAGGACACACAGTATATGCCACAGTACTGACCAGCAGCAGTAGTACTCTTACTCTCTTGCTTTGGATAAGAATGTTTTGATTCCACCTGTCAGTTCCTCAGTATGCTCGCTGGAGGTCAGGTATGTTCAGGGACTAGCACTGAGTGGATGCAGTGCAGAAAATACCTTTGTGCTGAAGTAGCTGATGCAGTTTATCACCCAGTGTGTGTTAAAGCATTTGGTTTTCTGTTATTTCTTTGTGCCTAATGTGCTTCCCTGGAGGTGTCTTTCTGCATAGAGGTGGCAGAATGTAGACACTCCGATCTCTGCGTTTTCTTATTTCTGTTGCTCATAGTTCTTCCAGGTCCAAATGGGAAGAATTAGCAACATATGAAGCTGCAGAAAAATCAGTTTGCTTTCACATTGGTTTTGCTGCCACTGTATGGTGAAAATTAGCTTGTATTGTACAGTAGCCAGTTTCACTCGGTCCCAGGTGGTGGGAATATGCTGTGGACCAAAGCATGTCTATATTTTGCTCTTTATTCTCTTTACCAGTAAGAGCAGATGCTGTCAGAGTAAAATGAGGGACAGATCAGTCTCCATCTCTAGGATGGGTAAACAAATTAATCTTGCACTTGATGGTGATAGCTGTTTCGATCTTTTTTTCCAAATCCTCAAAAACACTTGAAATCTGTCAAGAAAAGGCCGCTGAAGTTCTCAGCAGAACCCAGAGCTGCAACAAGAAGATTGGTGCAGCAGTTTTTTACGGAGCAGTTTTACAGTCCTACGTCTTGGTACACATTTCTGCTTCACTCCAGTTTCTGCACTCTAGATCCTCTCTTTTGATGTACCTACTGGTCACGTTACCCAAATACAACAACTTCCACTGTGTTGCTTTTTTCATGGATGCAGTCAGCCCAGGACACCAGGCTAAGTGTGAGCCAATTGCCCACCCTCTGATCCTTTTGGAGCCCACCCACCCCACCTCAGGTGGTGTTCCAGGTACAGTCAGCAGTGGCAGCAGATGGTCCCATCTGTGGGTACATGTGATTCTGTGGTCCCAGCTACTAGGCAGGGGATCTGGGCTCAGAGCTCAGCCTTGCATCCACCTTCACTTTCTGCTGACTGATCTGAAGGAAAAATCCTCAGATTTTCCAAGTCATGGCTTTTACAAACACCACCAACGACCACTGCAACAGGATGATTTCCAGCAAGGAAGACAGTGACCGGAAATTGTTGTAAATTATGTAAAATCCCTTTTATTTTCAGCTACCATAAACCAGGCCAAATTCAGGAGATCTCTCTTGGATGTATCAATGCTCTGTGACAGTGTCAGTTTCAGTTTGAAATTTTTGCTGAATTGTCTTTCTTTTTTTTTTTTTTTTTTTAATCTGAATTTCCTTATCGAGTGGGGAAAGCAATAATTTTCTTAGTTTCTCTTAATTGTTACCCTACAGTGGTCTCAATAGTCTCCTAGTAGTTGCCTATTGCCATTTGAAGAAAAAAAAAAAAAAAAAAAAAGCTTTTTTTTTTACTTTTTGTTGCTAAGCATAGAGCAGCCTCTCTAATTTCTTACTCTGAGACAGTGATGATGCCCTGATAAGTAAGTGGTTTTATTTCTCCATTGTTCAGAGGCACGTTTTGGAGTGTCTTCCCATGGATTGGGCACTCAGCACCCCAGGCATGTAGCTTAAACTTTCAGCCCTCAGCCTTGCAATTGCTTCATTGCACTTAAAATCCTGGAAGGATTTCCTCATGAATTCCTTTTTTCCCTCAGATGAATTGTTGGTTTTCGGGGCGCATTTGCCCTCTACTGGATAAAATAAAAACTGCTCAGCCTTGCTCCCACTTCCACAGCTTAGGGAAAGGCAGTGGGCATGGCACAGCTCCCCAGGGTAGTGGGCATGGCCCTAAGCTGCTGGAGCTCAGGGAGTGTTTGGGCACCACTTTCACACACAAGGTTTGTGTTTGTGTAGTGCTGTGTGGAGCAGGGGTTGGACTCCATGGTTCCCTTCCAACTCAGTTCTGTGATTCTTAAGCTTCAGCTGTTTATTTCCGCCCCATCCAAGACTTAAGTCATCACCTCATCTGACTTCTATGCAGAGGAATCAAATGGCACTACCCTACCTCAGAAAGCCACTTTTGTGCAGAGCAGCATGCTAGAGGCTGTAGGACCTGGGAGGGCAGCCATGAGCTGATGCAACAGCCACATATTGTTGTTTGGGCTTTTTTACTCCTTTTTCTTTCTTTCTTTTTTTCTTACTGGCTCTTTAAACTTAAGAACTGGGCTTCTCCAGGAGGACTGGTGCAGGCAGGCATACAATGTTCTGTATCAGCAGAGGAGAGCACTGTGTGCACATCCCATGCTAGCACCCTTTGGTCCACTCTGAATTATTTTTTTAAGTTTGTTGCACACGTATTAAAACTGTTCCTTACCTAAAATAATTGTTTCTGTGCATGCACGTGTGTCCATATATAAGTCGCATACCGTATGCGCGCTTCTATATGCGTGCATATGTTTGTGCATATATATAATATATATATACCTATGTGTGTTGTTATATGTGTACATATATACGCATACATGCCTCTCTACGTATAATACACCTACTGGATGTGTGGATTTTTATGTCTGTTCACCCAGCGATGTGACGGATGTTCTCTCCTTCTGTCCCTCCAGGTGCTGGAGGCCACCAGGGTGAACCGCAGGAAGAGCGCGCTGGCGCTGCGCTGGGAGGCCGGCATTTACGCCAACCGGGAGGAGGACGAGTAGCTGTGCAGCAGCACCTGCTGAACCAAAAAAAAAAAAAAAGGAAAAAAAATAAGCAGCATTTTAATCCGATATTTATTAAATACACAACGAACTTGTTGATGCACACAGACACAAAAACAATCCAGCTCCCGGCAACTCTAAAACAACAGGAACAGCCCACTTGGAAAACACCCCCTCCTCCCACCCCTGCTTCCCCCTCCCACATGATGCTGGGGTTGCAGGGGCCAGGGATCCCCAGGACGCAGCTTGGGGTCTGTGCCCACATCGGCCTCACCCCTGCAGCGTGACGACGTCACCCTCTGATGCTGTTTGTTTGAGGGGACCGAAAGATTTGGGGTTGGGATTGGAGTGGGGTTGGTTTTTTTGGAGGGGGGGGTCTGCGCCCCTTATCTAGTAATTTATCTGTTTAAATGAAAAAAAAAACAACAAAAACCCACAAATAAACGGGGAAGCATCTATTGCAAATGTACAATCCAGCAGACTCAGTAAATACAGCCCTTGTGTTGCAAACACAAGCCATCACAATTCAGGAGTGGAATAGATGGGGATGAGAGCTAAGCCAAATGGATCACCTTAGCTTTAGGATCCTGTATGCTTGCAATATCACCTGAGCTCCAGGTTCTCAGATCATATTTACCTAACAAAGTTTCTAAATAGAAAGTCTGTATTTAGCGGATGACAACTATTTTTTGATGATGGGGAGGGGAAAAAGAATGGTGTACGTGGATAACCGGTGGAGATGGATAGTTTGAAGCAGAAAGGTAGTGGGGAATGAATACAAATAAAGGACATTTAATTTTTAAAGAAGGCAATAACTGAACTAAGCCAGACTTTGGCCTAGGAAGAGGTATGAGATAGAGAGGAAAGAGAGCTACGTCTTTCACTATATTTGTACAACATAAAAAGCCTTTGGAGCAGAGTGCTGTGTGGGAGCCTTCGGATCCCCAGGCAACAAGAAGTTGGGGGCAGGAGGGAGCGAGGGGGCAGGCAGGGGGGAAGCATGACATTTGCCATCCAGCCAGAGCGTGCAGCGCTGCAAGCAGACCACAGGGCCCGTGCTTGTTGCTTTGGCCCGGGATCAGCCGCCAGGGGTTCGTGTGCATCTGTGTGTGCGTGGGGCGTGTGTGCAAGGATATGTGTGGCAGTGTGCATGTGTGGGTTTTCTCCAAGGCTGTGTACCAGCTGTAGGGGTGAGTGCTTATATCTTTCTTTCTTCCTTTCTTTTTTTTTTTTTCTTTTTTTCTTTTTTTTTTTTTTTTTGTCTGAAAGGGGATATAAAAAAAACAAGGCACTGAGTTAATGCAGTATTTGTGATATCAAAATTTGACCCAACATGGTATTTGCATGAGTCACAATTGCAAAGTATTGACCAATTTTGTAAGCTGACAGTTAGGAAAAGAAATGTGGTATTTATTCTTGTGCTTTGTATTTGTATGTAGTATAGAGGCTGCGGGTTTACTCTTTTCACACAAGCAATACAATAAGAGTATTTTAGATCTGGGAACCATAATTTCTGGACCAGAAATGAACAAGTTTGGGAGGCAACAGCAACAACAACAAAAAAAGCTGAGCTTTTTTCTATATAAAATGCTCTGCCTTTTTTATAGACAAACAATGATTATTTTGACTTCTTTTTAAAAACCACAGTGCTTGTCCTCCCCCAAGCCTCTCCTTGGCTTCATGGCCTGCTGCGCTGCTTTGTCTTGGAGCAGCGAGCTCACTTCTAATAAGTACCAATACTGTGAACACACTCCTGGTGCTTTTCTTCAGCCAACACAGCGCTTGCAACCGAACGATATTACTCCCCACAATTCCCCCCAGCATGCCTGTGGACATTTTGAGGCCCATTTTCAGGGAACTGTAGCACCCATGAGCTCTGTGAATTGTCTCCCTCCATGCCGTGGAGCACACGAAGGCCCTGCTGACCTGTTTGCTGTGAGACGAGGTGCCCTGAGCAGAGGGCCCCACATCAGACAGTGCTCCCCAAAATGGGGGCACATCTGTATTCCCCTCCACAAGGAGGTCTGCTTTCCTCCCACACCGGCTGACATTGGTCACCCATCTCAAGACCGCCCATCTCCTCATGCTTTGTTGCCCCTTGGTCCTAGAAACGCAAACCAGATTGCCCTCGATGAGGGGCACAGTTGTGGGAGAGGAGCACTGGGGGCTTCCGCTCTCCTCCCCAGGGCAGTGGTATGTGCTGGACTCGGGCAGCCAAACTTTGCAGCCAGCAGTGTTCTTCTCTTCCAGAAATTATGGGCATTTGTCAGCAGTGCACACTCGGCGCGGCGGTAGCACGGGTGCTGTGCAGCTCATTCGCCTCTCTGTTATTTCATTTGCATGCTACCAGGCTTAGGTGTTTATAAGTATACGCCAGTAATACATATCTATCTATATATAACTATATCCAATGCAAACAAGGAGCACTATTGCAGAGTTAACTTTGTCTCCACAAAAGAAGCGCTCAGATCCTTTCCCGTGGCAAAGACTGGTTTTAATGAAACTGTGTATTCAGAAATAGTTAAGCATTAGCATTTGTGATTATAAGCAGTTCGGGGTTACAGTGCAGGTTTTCTGAATGGTTTGTTTTAAAGGCTGCCAGTTTGGGCTTCATCTCGCTCCATACTGACATCATCCGAAGGAAAACAGAAAAACATCACTTGGCTTGGCAACCAGAAGGCGGCATCCTTGTCATGACTCACCGAACAGCTTCAACAGTACCTGGCTTTCTGTATGTTAACCACTTCAATGTTATCCTGCTTCTGTTTTATAGTGACTGTGAGGCCTACAATGCAAGTATACAATTATTTTCTCATTAAAACAGAAGCCTGCTTTGTGTTTCTATCCAGCAGTAGCAGGGATGCAATGGGAGCAGGTGCACAGTGCCCTTGTGCTGGGGGCATTATGTTGTTTGGTTGCAGCCTGGATGCCCCCTGGGGGCTGAGAGCAATGAGGATCATAGGGGTTGGAAGGGACCTCTGAAGATTTCCTTTGTCCCTCCTGCTAAAGCAGGTTCCATAAGGCAGCTTGCACAGGGAAGCGTCCAGGTGGATCTTGAATATTTCCAGAGACAGAGTCGATGGCCTCTCTGGGCAGCCTGTGCCAGTGCTCAGTCACCATCACTGTAAAGAAGTTCTTCCTCATGTTCAGAAGGAACTTCCTATGTTTGTGCCCATTGCCTCTTGTCATGTCACTGGGTACCACCAAAAAGAGCCTGGCCCAAGCCTCTTGACACTCACCATTTTAGATATTTAGGAGAAGTGGTAAGAACTCCTTTCAGTCTTCTCCAGGCTAAACAGTCTCAGGCCTCTCACACTTTCCTTGTATGGGAAATGCACCAGACCCCTAATTATTTTTGTGGCCCTCCACTGGACATTTTCTAGGAGGTTCCTGGTTCCTGCCCAGAACCAGACATAGTGCTCTAGAGATAGCCTCCCCAGGGCAGAGTAGGAGGGAAGGATCACCTCCATCAACCTGCTGAACATGCTCTTTTTAATACACCCCAAGATGCCGTTGGCCTTTTTGGCTCATGGTCACGCTGCTAGCTCATGGTCACCATGTTGTCCACTGCAGAGCTCCTCTCCAGGAGATCATTCCCTATCCTGTACTGATGTGTGCATTTATTCCCCTCTGATGGAAGACCATAGACTTGTTCTTATTGAAACTCATTAGGTTCCTCTCTACCCAACTCACCCATCTGTTCAGGTCTTGTTGAAAGGCAGCACAGCCTTCTGTTTGCTCCCACTGTTCCGTCTGAGCCCCCTTCCTTCCAGGCACAATACCCAAATGCCCGCAGAGAGCAGCCCTGTGGATTTCCTCTCCCATTAGCAAATACTGCAGGGTTAGAGATTGCAAAATGAGTACTGTCACGTCTGTGGGTGGCAGTGGCTTGGGAATTTTGGCAATGAATTCCACTGTTGGCAGCTGTTCATATTTGTCCACTAAGAAACACGTAGGACAGCTAAAATCCCCAGCACTCCACTGCATGGCCAAAGTGACATTTGCCAGCCTTAAGAGTATTTTTGTAAGTACTTAAGGTCTGCAAAATCCATTGTTTATGGGGCACAATCTCTGCCTCAGCTGTGGACCAGACAGAGGCAAGAACACAAAGCAAACTTTGTGGGATCAGTGCACAAAAAAAAAGCAGAGCATGCAGTATCAGGAAGCCAGGCACCGCAAGCTATTGCAGAGGAGGGATGGGGCTAGGCAGAACCTGAGCTACAAATATTACCACAGACTTTTTAACTTTAGAAATGATATTCAGTGACCTTACTGAATTGATGAGGTTGGGCAGTCCAGCACACCACTGGCAGCAGGCAGCCCAGCCCTGAACTGCTCCCCAGAATCCCCATGTATCTAGCACCTTGCCACAACTGCACCATGGCAAAAACACATTAAAAAAAAAAAAAAAAAAAAAACAGACCAAGCAGTAACAGGGAAAAAATAAATGCCATCCAGAGCACAGGGTCTGCTGCTTGTTCTGGCTGAGTCTGATTAACTGGCCACCTTACCCACAGGTTCATCAGTTGTGTCTCGAGGAGGACAGCTTTTATGATAAGCATCAGTTGCTGGAGCACTGCCAGAAGCTTTGATTCCACTCCAATCCCACCCAGGGCAGTGGCAGAGGGGAAAAATCCATGAAGAAAATCAGAAGGCTGTGGAATAGCAGCCCTTGAACCATGCAGCAGTACTGACATCTGGAGAGTTGGATGCTGTGGGTGTGGGGAGCCACGTCAGCCTACAGTAGCACTACACAAATCCTCCCAGAGAAAACACGAGGACAGTGGTTGCACAGAGGGATGGAGGGAGGCATGAGGCTTTGACTGTCTGTAAGGTGCCTACAGGGAAGCAAGGCAGAGTCACTGCTTTGGCACACCTCAGAGCCTAGCACACAAAGACATCGCTCGTGTTACCAACCCAGCAAGTCCTCCTCTAGCAGCCCGAGTAACAAATTCATAGAATCACAAAGTCATAAAGGTTGAGAAGGATCACTAAAACCTAGTCCAACTGTCAACATATCGCCACTATGCCCATTAAACTGTAACTACCTCCTGTAGCATCTCTTTGCCATATGTTAAATTGAGCAAAGTCCTCCAGCCACTACTTTTTAAAAGTCTTTTTAAAAGACACCGAGCTGAGAAGGTGCTAGCAAAACAGATAATCCCGATGAAGCATTCCTGCAAGGCTTTACAGGCAGATAACCTATCATTAGAAAGGAGGGAAGAGCTTGTGAGTACCTATGAAGTGTCAGCCCCGTGGAGAAATGTGGAGTTTCCCAGTATACAGTGGGAATTGACTTTCCCAACAACCCTGTCACTTCAGGTAACACCCCACCTTCTGTGGAGGAGACAGGAAGGCTCAGCCCTGCTTCATTAGGGAAAGGTGCAAAGTAGGGCACTTGCTCGCTTGTTTTCCTCTAGGAG